TTTTCTTGTAATCTGTAAGAATGTAGAGAGTTTATTTAGCTCCTGTGTGTAGTCCTAATTTTGTTTAACTTCATTAGGCTTGTTGGTGTTGCATGGAACCATTTACCATTATTATTATCGCTACCATGACTGATTGTGATCTTTAGTGAACTTCAAACATGGAACCTTGCTTCCACCATAGCTTTCCATTTAGCCTTGCCTGTTGCCAGGTCAATGTTCTGCTTCATGTTACGGCTGCCTGTCATTTCCTGGATGTCATCCATTCACCATGTTCTTCTTCTCCCTTTCTTTACCTCGCTCTCTTGCACAATTTAGCATAGCTCCTCTCTAGCCAATTTTTTTGTGATGTGGCCTAAAAATTTTTCATTTTCTCTTTACTATTCCTTCCAACAAACATGGTTTTGCTTCATTAACACTTTGCAGCACCTCTTCATTTGTGACCAAGATTTCAAGATCCTCTTATAGCACCACAGTTCAGAACTGATCTTCTTTTTTAGAGACATTGCGAGAGAAAACATTTCTGCTCCATAGGAAACAGACCAGACTTGTGTTTGTTTATGGTGACTTGTAAGTTAGATGCCTTTGACTTTGTAAATGACTTGCAGCACCTCTTGGCATATTCGCAAAGGCAATACAAAGAGCAGTAACATTTGGCTGCTAGTCAAATTTTAGCTAAAGTCCCATCAATGAAAGACTAAAGCCTGGTCTACACGTTTCGAATTTCAGCTGGTCCTTGATGAACTGGCCGAAACTTGAAGCATGGGTGCCGCTCTCAGCACCTTTCCGACCGGCATCCCTCAAACAGCTGATCGAAGGAGCATGTGAGAAAATTCTCGGCCAAACAAAGCGAGCAGCCAATAAGCTGCCCACTCTCTTTGGATACTCTGACAGCAGCCGTTGGCCGCTTTCGGAATACAATGTAAGCAGTGAGAGATTCCTTGATCAATGCTTGTAAGCAGTAATAGAGGAAGCTGTTCTATTTTCTTTGTTCAGCCAGCAGGATGAATGAAGAAAATAGAAGCGGGTATATCCAACTTTAGTCGGACTGCTTTCATGAGTTATTGTACATTGCAGATTGCAGTTTCTCTTATTAAGTAAGGCCACTAGGACATCAGAGGAAGTCCATACATTCTATGTTCCCCTGTTTTGAAGCATCCATTAGTAAATATTGTATATCTCATTCCTGAATATTTCTGGCGGTCCACTGGGAATAAATACACAGTACATTTCTAGTGGAATTTTTCAGACTAGTTATGCTTCATCATTTCAGTATCTGCCTGCATCACTTTCAACTCTGAAAAAGAAAGAGGTTGTCTGATCTCCATTCAGGGCAGCGGAAGCTTCATTAATTAAAGACATGCTGTAATGCACACTTAACAACTGTTTAAATTACTCAAAGTCTCCCTTCATTCTCCATGAGGATCAGATCACAGAAAGCATTTTGAGATTTTCTCAGCTTTCATTTGCACCCTTCTCATGTCATCAGTGTAAATACCTTATTCCAGCTGTGTAGGTCAACCTCTGCTGTACCTCCTAAAGGATTACCCCACCTCAAAGCCCCTGTATCCATCTTATGTCAAGACAGAAAGCCTAACCAAGACGTTGGCAATGGAGTGCTAAGAAAAGTGCAATCAAGCTATTTTAATTTATTGTCCTCATTACACACAAAATGGTCTCTGTGGGTTGATATACAACACTGGTGATAGACCTGCCTTACTAAAAAAACCAACTCTTCCTACAATTCTGCATTATTTGCTATTCTGATATATATATATATATACTGTATATATCTATACTGTTTATTGCTGATAATTTTGTTTCCATTGGCAGATTTTCATTTTAAAGGCAGGCTGTCAGGAAAAAATATTTCGAAGCTGTCAATGCTGACCTACCCTTCTGAAAATACTGGTCACCTGTTTGCTGTAAAATTTTGAGTCACTGACCTAAAATAAGTTAATAAATCTGACTTGGCATACCTTATTTCTTTCTTGTTCAGTTGTTTTTATGGGAAGTTTACAAGAACAGCAGGGGTATCTTTGTATAGCAGGGCTGGACAAATACCACAAGCTAGGTAACCAATGCTCCTTAAACATTACAACCGTCACCTAACTTTTGAGGTTTTCTCTAGTTTTTGTCAATGGAGCTGGCTCCTAAAAAAAAAACCCTGCTTGTTCCTGAATTCAAAATACTGGCTCCTGAATTCCATAATAATTTGTTCACCCCTGATGTATAGATACACATTAAGGCATCCTCTGAACAAAATTGAAAGGTTATCTATTCTGAAACAATAAGAAGTTACTTACATAGTTAGGAGGTAAGATTTTTGCTCCGTAGTTCTTTCATGGCAGGTTTAATGTAAATTCCCTACATAATACTTGTTTATTGCTGCTGGCAATGTGACAGTAAGGTTTTTAACTAAAGACATTTATTCTCTGTATAATTTCAGTGTTACATCTAGGAAGAGTTACTGTGATGGCAGCCTAGAGGGAGTTAAAGTTTAAAGCTGCGGCACATCTTGTTGCACAGCTGTTGGTATCTGTCTTCATGTCAGCATTCCAGCTCTGTGTGTCAGGAATGGCTCAGTGCAGTGGCATCCATGCCTAATATGCCCAGTTATAGTGCACAAAGGTACTGCTGTGTACCGGAGATGTAGAAAGTGGGTGTCAGGCCTGAATGAGTTCAGCAATGAGTGATAACCACTGTTTAAAATTCACATGCTCATGCCCACAGTTTTTACAACACTCAACCCTATTAAAAGCTTTAACCATAAATAATAGTGTTATGTTGGCACTTGTGCTTCTCTCAAGGGATTTCTCTCCACTGAGCCAGCCTGTGCCACTGAGATAGTTGATGAAATGTGTATGTGATAGTGTTAGTATTTGTTCATTTTCCTTTTCTGGATTCACAGTGTTGCTCTGCATTAGTGCATGCCTGTTAACATGTCTTGCGATCAGGCAGCCCATTTATTTGAATGCGCTGCCTAATGCACCAAATGTAACAAAAAAGGTGCATTTTAGCAGCATGGCACACTGCAATGCAAGGAAGGGAAATTGAGGAGGCTAACATTCCACTGTAAATATAAAAGTTATACAATTAGTTATCAAACACAACATTTTTATTTTACATTTTGCGCTGCCTCTTTGATTATAGCTGCTTTGTGTGGTTTAGGAGTTGAGTGAATATGAAATACACCAGAGCTACTAGATAACATGTTATGCAGAAGATAACATTCAGTCATTTGAATAGAACCGATTTGGCTACTTCCCTCACTATCAGACAGGAAGTGAAGGGCAATCTCCCCAATGGCAAAAAAAGCTGACAGGGGTTATATCCCTCCCTTGCCCATTCACACCACATGCAAATCATCACCAGACCAGATTGTTTCCGGACCCAAAATGCATCCTAATATATCCCTATGCTATTTCTGGCCTCTGTTCACACTAGCTCAGTCCGTTCCAGAGCAGACCAGAAAAATACTGCATGTCTCATTTTGTCTGGTCTGGAATGCACTGGAATTTCGGTCAAGTTCACACCATTTTGCTGACCAGATCTGGTCCGCAAAATGGTGTGAACCTGCCAAAGAAGAATTTCATGGAATACATACATGGGTTTGGCTCACTCCTCCCCTGAAAAGCAAAGTCTGGATCCTTTACATTTGATCAGTAAACTAATTTTGACTTAAAATACAGTAGTGTTCCCAGAGCTTCATTATACCACAGACAGGCACAGGATTGAGATTTACAGACCTGATACCTTTGAATGTAGGTCTCATCACTATGACGGCATTTGGTAGTAAATACGGTTTAAATAATTACTTATTTAATGCATGCATGTGGTGGCAAAATATGGTTCCAAATGAATTTTATCCTATCGGTTTTTTAAAATTATAATTCCAACATACATATGCAAATTTAATTTGTGTTTTGGTATACATTAAAACAATTTTAAAAAAGGGCAGTACAGATGTTACCTAACTCTAGTGCCTTACATATAGTAAAGAGCACTGTTCACTTAATTTGTAATATGAACTGTTTTAAGTAAAAAATCTTAAACCTAAAAAGTAGAAAATAATTTGTCCAACAGTTATTTGCTCCGAAAACTGGCCATGCACATTGCAATCTGAGTGTATGGTCTCTGTACAATGTCCTTTAGGCCTCATTGACACTGGGCAGTGTGAATGAGGAACCCTAGATATCCTGTTTACATGCGGCTGTTGTACCCGTTCAAGCTAAAGGCCGTGTAACAGCAGCCGCATCTGTAAGGGGCAGTTCACATGCAATTGTATGTGATATGATTACATGCACTTTGGAATAGATTAGTGTTGCTGGGTGCATGTATCCTGCATTCAGGGACAGTTATATATTCCAAACCACATGTAATTGTATCACATATGATTGAATGCGGACTGCCCCTTACAGATATGTCTGCTGTCACCCGGTCATTACCTTAAATGGGTACAGCGGCTGCATCTAAACGGGAGTTCTGAGATTCTTGTCACCGGAATCTGTAGGTTTTTTGCTGCAGGAATTTCAAATCACCCAGTGTGAATGAGGCCCAAGCTTAGGACTTGTATGTGGCCATTCCTTTTACTTAACATATCAGAGCTGAGCGGATCCAAATTAGTAATAAAAACAAGCATGATGATACATTGATGAATTTAGGAACGAGTACAACATGCTCTCACTCATTCCTAGCTACAGAAAGAGATACAACATAATAAACTGGTCACATATAGATCCCGTTCACATCAGCGTCTGGAGATGCGTTGTGGTGCCATTCAAATGAATGTCAATGGCAGTGCACCTAGCACATGGTACAGCACACTTGGTGTGCTGTACAATAGTGTTCACTAAATGCACAGTACTGTGTGTTTACTGTAACGCCCTGGTGTAAATGGGCCCTAAGCAGTTCTCTTGTTAGAAAATGCAGATTTTGTTTTGTTTAGAAATACCTCTTTAAATATATATGGTATTAAAGTACCTATTTTTATGTTTTTTTAGGCTTTTGGTGGGGGCACCCCAGGCACCATCATTACCAAACCAGTTCTCAAATCGCACAGGTGGTCTATATGGGTGTCCGCTGGCTGCTGGAGCCCAGGAATGTCAAAGGCTTGACATTGATGATGGAGGTACAGTTCATCATAGTTATTTTATTTACTGTTTTACTTGTATTTCATTCTTAAAACAAAGTTCTAATGATACATGTCTAGCATGCTGTAATCAGACAGAAAATGCTAATTATTCATGACATTGATTGTGCTGTATTGTATTTTTTCATTCTCCTTCAGTCTAATCAGTCTTCGGTATTTAGCAATATCTTAATATAGATCTTCCCTATTCGTACCATATAAGTATATAAATTCCAAATGTTTGTGTGTGTTTGTATACTAGCAGTGAGCCATTCATTGAAATAAAGAAACATGTTTATATACTATTATTATTATATATATTTTATACTATTTTTTTTTCAACTGATATTATTGAGAAGATTTTCTTTAATAAAACAGGTCCTTATTTCTCCCAAAGCCCACTATAATTCTAATACTGAAGATATGTGCTGGCTTGTTGGAGTTAAGTAGATACTGTTTCATGTTCAAGAGGGTCTCATTCTGGGTTTTCACAGCTCCTTTATTGTGAACTTTCCAATAATGGGAAAGAGAAGTTGATTAATAGCACTAGCTTACAACAAACCGACAAGCAGATACTATTTGTCATGGATCTGTTATTGTTGCCTAGCAGAGAATTCTAATTACACTTTCCCACTGTGGGAGTTGTCAAGGTAATGGCACTCTTTTGCCTTTGATAATGATTGGCTGCTCTGCATTATTGCAATGATGGTTGAAAAACAGAGCAAGCCAGCACCCCTGGTATGCTATTTATACACAAAGAATCTGTAAAGCCCAGTTAAGGTCACAGAAATAGATATGCAGCCAGAAAGACTTTACACCTCAGTTGTCCGAGTTATACCTCCATTTTCTTGTTACAATCAGAAAGCCGGGAGGCAGGTCATGACGTGCTGCCCAGCTTCCTGATTGGCTAGGAAGCCGGCTTCACTTGTTGCTAGGCAGCTTGGCTTCCTGATTGGTTAGTGAAGTGAAGCTGGCTTCCTAGCCAATCAGGAAGCCGGGCGGTATGTCATCATCCGTCTCCCAGCTTCCTGATTCCCTAGCAAGCCAGCTTCATTTGTTCCTAGGCAGCATGGCTTCCTGACCAATCAGGAAGCCCGGGGGTGGGCATTACGTGCTGACCGGCTCCCTGATTGGTTAGGAAGCCAGGCTGCTTAGCAACAAGTGAAGCCAGCTTTCTAGCCAATCTGGAAGCTGGGAGGCGGGTCAGTATCGGCATCAGTGCATCCCTAATTTGAAGTTTACTTATCCCATGGTAGTTGGGGGACAGCAAAATTGATTATATTTTTTTATGATTGAGTGTATTTTTTACAGTAGCATTTCAGTATCAGTCCAGTCCAATCAGAGAGATTTGTGACTGAAAGCATGTCATGCACTGCTGATCCCTAAATTGACAATGAGGTTGCATTTATCATAGAGTTATCAGTGAGTGTATCTAGCAGAACAGTAGTGCATCCTTTATAATACTTCAAAGAGCCATAAACCAGACAACATTGCTTAATATCATTGGTTAAAAAAATTGTAATTCCCCATCTTTAGATCCAGAGTCTAATTTCAGGAGGAGTACTGCCAGAAAATAGGGTTGCTTTCAGAACAGAATATTGTAATAATATGTTACATTGCAGTTGTTTGTTATGTATAACAGCAATTGTGCTTTTTTTCTCACATCCTGGCACTTTTGTGTGCAGGAATGGAATCTTTGCCAAACAACAGTTGGCACATTATGGTCATTAAAATGGGTCTGTCATCCACACTGCACATTACTGTGTTTTATAGCTGTGGAGCTTTGTGATACACATGGTTCAGGCACAGTGTGAAGGATGGAGGGCCCCAGACTGAAGGAAGGGGGCCCAGTAACCTGCAATGTCGGCCGTTACAAGGGCTCCCTTCCTCCTGTCTGGGCCCTCCAAGTGGCAGAATGCTAGGGGTCAGGTCGCAGCTACAACTGTGTGGCCCTGGTAGTTCTGCCACTGTATAGAGGACTACAGATCTCAGCAATACATTATACAGCAATGCAAAGTACCACCAGCTATAGAGGACTAGAAATCTCAGCAAGACATTATACAGCAATGCAGAATAATACCATCAGCTATATTGGACTACAAACCCCAGCAATACTTTATACAGCAATGCAGAATAATACCGCTGCAGCAAGTCAGATAGAGCTTGTCCCATTTCCTGGCTAGCCATTTAGCCCCTTCCTCCCCGCTTTACTGTCCATGGTCCACCCCCACAGCATCTCATGTCGATATCACCTAGAGCAGTCTGCATGCAACTGCAGCCTGCCTAGGAATGCCCAATCCTCCAGTCTAACTCCTCCCAAGATCCAGCCAACTGCTGGCATCAGGGCTGAGAGCTCTTGAGATGGCACTGAGGCAGGGTGTTGTAATATTTACAGGAAGCTATGTAAAGCACCCTATCAGCCTCTTCCCCGAGCCATGATCTGCCAGCATTGCATAGAGAAGTGCCAAAACCTAGTGAGGATTATCGGGTCTACAATAAGGTATAACATTACAACAGGTACGTTTTATTTACAAATTTCATTAGCAGGTTGATAAAGGAGAAAGGAGCACTCAGGGAAAGCAAAAAATAAATGGATTAAACTTCAGCAACATTTTTATATTTTCGTTTTTTAATGTTATTTTTGTTGTATTAAATACCGAGATTTGTTAACACTAATTACATAAAATTGATCACATTTATATAAAAAAAACAATTGAAAAGACTCTACATTCCCTTTAACCTATTTGACCCTATTTACAAGAGTTAGAGTGAAGTATACGTTGTGATGGAGGTTTTCATAGCTTATGGTTTGAAAAGCAGTCTTACTTCAGTCCAGTAATTACTTGTTTACATTCACAGGGCCTCATGCATACTACGTACAAAAATTTTGAGTTCAGGTACGCTTGGAGCTCATTTCTAAATGCACCTGGACTCATGTAATGCTTTTCTATGACTGAATGCACACCCAGGCGTCCAGCAGCGTCTGGGTGCCTTCAGTCTAGATCAGTTTACCCAAAATACCGTATGTACTCGAGTATAAGCCGTCCCGAATATAAGCCGAGGGTGGGAAATGAGGCAGCTACTGGTAGATAGATACCATTAAAATACATTAATATTTATTTAAAAGAAAAATAACCTAGCTCTGTAAGTGGAAAAGGGGGTACAGGGCTACATATCATGTACTACGGATCATTTAACCCATTCATGTTAGCAGAGGATCATTGTAAATGTATTGTCTGCACTGTATTAGCAGTATATACTCTATATAGAGTATATACTGCTAATACAGTGCAGACAATACATTTACAATGATCCTCTGCTAACATGAATGGGTTAAATGATCCATAGTACAGGGCTACATATCATGTACTACGGATCATTTAACCCATTCATGTTAGCAGAGGATCATTGTAAATGTATTGTCTGCACTGTATTAGCAGTATATACTCTATATAGAGTATATACTGCTAATACAGTGCAGACAATACATTTACAATGATCCTCTGCTAACATGAATGGGTTAAATGATCCATAGTACAGGGCTACATATCATGTACTACGGATCATTTAACCCATTCATGTTAGCAGAGGATCATTGTAAATGTATTGTCTGCACTGTATTAGCAGTATATACTCTATATAGAGTATATACTGCTAATACAGTGCAGACAATACATTTACAATGATCCTCTGCTAACATGAATGGGTTAAATGATCCATAGTACAGGGCTACATATCATGTACTACGGATCATTTAACCCATTCATGTTAGCAGAGGATCATTGTAAATGTATTGTCTGCACTGTATTAGCAGTATATACTCTATATAGAGTATATACTGCTAATACAGTGCAGACAATACATTTACAATTATACTAACATGAATGTATTAAATGATCTGTATGTAGCCCTGTACCCCCTTTTCCACTTACAGAGCTAGGTTATTTTTCTTTTAAATAAATATTAATGTATTTTAATGGTATCTATCTACCAGTAGCTGCCTCATTTCCCACCCTCGGCTTATATTCGGGACGGCTTATACTCGAGTATATACGGTAGAAATTTCTGCGTTCCAGGTCTACCAGTCCAGTTTTATGCGGCTAAACGTGTGTAAACGCGACTAAGCCCAGCACAGAAAAAAAGTGATCTAGGAAGCATAAAGTTGTTTATACTTACCAGATAACTTTTGTTGGGCTTAACCGCAGCCTGCTAGTGTGCATGAGGTTAAAAGTGTTAAGCTGGCCGCACACCAGTAGGATTTTGTTTAAAAAAAATTGTTTTCGAATCTTTTAGTGGATTTTCTAATAGCTAATTTGACCCCTAATAGCCAGGGGTCAAAATGCTAATTATATTCAGCCATGGTGATGAAAAAAAAACTAAGGCACAGAATGAAGCGAAATTCTAACAGTTAATGTGCTTTTCTTTTGGGAAACTCCATTCATTCCATCAACAAATGTTAAAATAAAGCGAAATTTTGGACAATTTTGGTCAAGTCTGATGACATTATCAAATAGTCCTCATGAGATTTTTTTGTATAAACATTTATTCGAAAATGTATTAGTGCATGACCAGTTTTACACTGTTTGCCCAGCATAATTGTAAAATGCAACATTGTAAAAAAGATTGCAATTTTGCTTATATGGACCAGTGGCATTAAAGAGATACTGTCACCTTGCTCATATTATCACAGTATCAGTGCCCCTGACAATTGGGCTCTGTTAGTTGTGCTTTTGCTTGGCTGTTTCTGGCTTTAATAACCAGAGGCAAACATGGAGTAATTAAAAGAACTGTGAAGTCAAAGCTCCTGATCTGCATATTATGGCATGCAGTTATTTTTTTTTAAACTTCTGTACTTTTGTTTGCACTGCAGTATTAGATTTCATTACAGGACAATGTAGAGTTATAACTTCCCAGCCCAGTAAAATGCATAAATAAGGGCACACAACATAAAGAGGTACAAAGCGGATTTACTGTAATGAAAAAATGAAAGACAACCTATACTTTAGAACTCTCCCATGTGTTGTGGTCTGCTGTATCCAAACAATCCTTGGAAATACAGTGGCTTAATAACATGTTCTTACAAGGTATATGAACAATAGCTTTTTCATCTTACCCGGAAGCTGCCAAATCATGTTGTTACCTGAATAAATCAATTTGCAACCAGACTCGAGAAGCCCATGGGGCTAGCTGCTCTTTGTCTACAGCCATACATGCATTTAATAGATGTCTTCCTACACATAGCTGTGGGTTCTGATCCACAGTGAAAAGACAGGCCTCAAAGGTCCCATCTGTCTGTCTGTCTGTATAATTATCTGTTCAGAAATCAATAGACTTTGACAAATAATCTGAATATAATGAATACATGTATTGTTCAGGCATACAGACTAAATTATGGTACTCACAGACAGGGGCGTAACCAGAGTAACGGGTGCCTGGGGCAGAACCAAATCCCCCCCCCCCGTGATATGTGGGCGTGTACGGGTGCAATGAGAGCATGCTGGGACATGTAATTGAACTATAAGTTCCAGCATGCCCTCATTGTCCCTGTACGCCCCCCAAATATCACCTAGGGAATAGTAACAAGCTGATTGGCAGGCTCCTGTGCTCCTTCTATGCAGAGTAGCCCTAGTACTTTTTAGATTCAATCATTTTTATTGAGAAAAGTTTTTCAAGAAAGTTACAAAACCAATAGTGAGATCTTACATCCTGTAGTTACAAATTGTGTAGGATACAAGCAATCTTTATGTTCATGATCTAGCATGTCACTTATACATCTCCAGTATTATCATAACAGGATATAGGTTGAGGAAGAAAGAGGACATAGAAAGGACAGCAGGGAAAGATAATGGGGGTAAGGAGGGTAAAGAAAGTAAAGAGAGCCAAGTAACCAAAGACATACAATACATATGGTTAGTCAGTCAGGGCTTGAGATTCCGTTTACCTATGCCAACATGACCAGGCATTGTAAAATCGTTTTGTGGAGCCATCCTGAAATGACATAACCCTCCCATGTTGGTAATGTAGGTTCGCTATAATTTTGTTACTTTTTAATCATATTATCTTCTACAGCTCTGGTGCCCAACCTGTGACCCTTTTGGTACTTATTGTGCACCCGTGGGCCCATATAGACTGCAGTCTGTTTTGGGGCTTACTCAAACCAGTGAAGGAAAATTATTCTTTAGACAGGCCTATTGTAGTTAAATGGTTTACCTTCTGGTGACCCCTTCTGGTCTGCAGAATATGCCCCATGATAGACCTGTGCTGATACTTTTGGATCAACCAATGCAAAAGGTATTTCCTGGGCTGATTGATGTTCTCTCCTTGAGATAAGGCTGGTGTAATGTGTGTTTGCACAAGACATAAATATACATGGCCAGTAGGTGTAACTGTGCACAATTATGCATCTTCTGCTCATTTTCCAATATCAATGGGGATTTTATTTTCATAACCATTCATTATGCCAGTGCCAGTTTACTGCTTTTAGAGAAAGTACACATAACCTGGCTGCCTACCCCCATGACATAAAATAGCCTACCTTCCCCCTCTTCAGCTGTATACTCACCTGAAACTCACAGAGTTGGTCTGAATCTCCTTCCCTCTAGCTGCGCCTGTACACAGGGTGTTCTTAGACCTCTATGGGACAGTCCCCCGAGTGTCTTCAGCCTTACTGCACTATATCTGCTGGCCCATAGCCACAAAAATCAAACTCATCTCTCACTAATATGACTTAAGCAGAAATCTGATGGGTTGTTCTGGGTTTATTGGACTTCACAATTCAGCTTCGACCTTTGCATTACCTTGTTCATAGTTCCCAACTCTGTAAATTAATTTCATAAGACACTTCACGGCCAAGCTGGTGTTTTTAAACTTACCAAGAATAATATTGTGTCAAAATGCCAACACAATTATTACATGGCTAACATTTTAGAATTAAAATATTTTTTTTTAAACTTTGAATGTTCCTCTTTAATAGATATGCTAATAATTGATATTTTAATATGCACACATACTGTAAATTTTGCATTATGCAGTTGCTTAGTACTGAAAACCAAGGCACATATCTGGGGATATTCCAAGGATACATCATGAACTGCAGATAGTTTGGGACAGCTGATACAATTCCTTTCTGAATATGCAAGTTGATGGACTGTTTCTGCTATAGGGTTCATTATATTCTAGCTCATTCCTGACACATTTGAACAAGTGCAACTCAAAATGAAAATGAGAATCTACTGGTGGAATTGCTTTTTTATAAAACAGTGTTTTACTTTATGTGGTCACAATGTACTGTCAGTTTTGAAATGTGGGTATTGGACAATAAGAGGTCTTTGTCTATTTTAGCAGGATAACCCTGTCTGTCTCTAGAAAATTGCATGCCTAGATATAGTTTCAGTTCTACTCTTAATTAAATCTTTGTTTCTCTGTCAGTTGATAGGAATCGGGAGAGTAAAGAAAATCAATGGCTTGGGGTTACCGTGAAAAGTCAGGGACCAGGGGGAAAGATTGTGGTAAGTGAAATCTTTTTCTTATATTTGGTAAGTACTTTTAAATAGATCAACTGACAACAAACCATCCAGTGTAAAAGATATCTAAAGTCATGACCGCACCTTTTTTATTTCATATTCCATGAGACAGCCAAGCTAATCACTATACTTCATATTTAAAAACATAAAGTGTAGGTAGGGTAATCCTTCCAACCCTTTGCTTCTATTGTCCACATGTGGGTGACACCTCTCTCTCATTTCCGCTCTGCACAAGGGGGCAGCAGCAGTGACGCTAGGTTACCTCTTTCTTGGGATTGTAAAATACATAAGCCAGCATGCATTGCTGCATGTGTCACAGGCCTGGGCATGTCCAAAAATATCTGCTGGAGGGTGTGGAAGGAGCGGAAGAGAATGTGGTGACATGCGTCACTGGCAGTGTCGTCAGATATAAATGTAGTATATATATATGTATGTATATATATATCTATATATAGATATATATAATAAAAATGGTAATAAATGTGATTTTAGCTTTTGTCTAGAGATTAACTTTAAATACTTTGAAAGAACACACTCTCCAGGCCCCACACTCCTCGGTTTCTGATGCCTTCAGAGTTGTTCTGCATCTTAATAAATTATTATGAGTCATCATCCTGAACGGTCTCCTAAATGTGTAGCACCATCTATCATCTGTACCATGTATAAGATTTAGTGCTTTTTGGTGTTTGTAGCTGGGCATGGTAAGATCTGCTTATAGCAATTTATACTTGAGTGTCAGCCAAGCTGTCGGCTTTAGCCGTTTGTATTGTTCGGCATTAGAGAGTGATCAATGTTTTCATTTAAGAACGTCAGTATTAGAAATCCCTGATGCTGCACTTTATACTTTAGTGGGAATTCCCGAAACAAATCTAGCTGGAGCAAATGGATTTAAAATTATCTTGTTGTATATTATATAAGCATTTTAAAATGGTTGGTGCAGAAAACTACTTATTATTATAAAATAATATGTGCTTTCTGCATCTTGATATCCAATGAAACAAGTACATATGTAAATTGTCTGACCATGAAGAATAATAGCTGCCTGGCTGGACTGGGTGAATATATGATATTTTATGGGAATCTGTGCTCCGGAGAGGGAAATACTGAAAGCAGCAGGTACTTGGCTCATCTCCATCTGAGGTCTATACCAGCGTTTCTCAACCTTTTTTCGGCCACAGCACACTTTAAAAGTAAACAAAATCTTGAGGTGTCCCAGTCTAAAATGTAAAAACCGTAAATGTAAAAAATGACATAGGGTCCCTCCAAAATCCGTACCACACCTTTACCCCAGGATCTGGTATGCATTTTAAGGGGGGACCCCACTCAAGAATACAGTCAGACTGCCACCTTTCACATAAGAGTCCCCCTTTACATCACGAGTCCACCTTTTTCACATCAGAGGCACAACACTGTGTAAAAATTTCGAGGCACCCCTGAGGAAGCCAGATGGTACCCAAGGGTACCACGTTATACTACCACTGCGACATTAGAATTTGTAAATTCCCTTGCAACGCAAGTATGCTCCAGTCTTAGTAAATTCCTCCCTATGCCTTTTTTTAACATTATGTAAAAGAAGGAAATATGCATTACCTCTAGAATCAAATCCAACCTGAGCAGTTTAATGCAATGAAGCTAGGTAAATATGATTTTTGACTGCTTACTGTGGGTTGTTGTACATTTCCTTATCATACTGATGCACATGTTTTCTATATCCTGTGGTGAGGATCACAGTACAAGTAAAAATGATACTATCCTCTGACATTTGTCTTTCTGATTTTCATGCATGAAGCATTTCTTCTGTTAAATCCTGGCCACATCTGTGTGCTTTTCTCACATAAATTGTACCGGATAGGCTTCAATCAATGTCTCAGCACAGCTACTCCACCTGCATAAAAGTAATTTGTGGAACAGTGAGTCAGTGCAGGCGCCCATAAGCGCATGAGTCAGAGTCACCATTAATTCCGAAATTCCAGGCCAGTTGCACATTCCAGGAGGGAGACTCCAGCTGCCAGTTACAAGCTCGGTTTTATAGGAGTGGATGGTACTTCTGTCTAATAAGTGCTAACTGTACTTTCCAAACCAAAATGATCCGCAAAGGATCCACATTTCAAAGGAGTCTGTTGTATGTTAGTCTGAAATAAAAATGTGATTTATTTCCTGGTTGTACCAGCGGCGGATTGTAGCTGCTGGTACTGAATAATCTTTTGCTGCCAGCTGCAGGTGCCTAACAGCGCCAAGTCAGGCATCTGAAATCGTTCATATAGATAGATGATGAATAATGTATTAGAATTATGTTGTCAAATACCTGGAATACATTCTTGTGCTTTGTTAGGATAAGATCGGTCGCTGGGAAGGGAAAGAATTGTGCGGGGTGTGATTTAGTTTATTAAATGTATGCATATCACTCACATCCTCACCATCTCCATGGGAACTACATATAAATAAAGCGTACAGTGTATAGAGTGAGGGGTGCGATGGAAAGTGTTGAGACCCGGGTTGCTGTGGAGATGTTGTGACCTTTTCATTGTCAGCTCGGCAGGATACTGTTGGATGCTGTTAGAATTTCTATATTGCCCTAATGTGGTGGTGCGTGGTGATACTAGTCTGTCTGCTCGGTGACCTGGAAACCTGTATTGATCTGCATACCAGGTTGTGTTTTATTTTATTTAAACATACAATTTGATTAAAGTGTGAAATGTGTAAAAGCACTGAAAAGATCAATCTCTTACTTCATTATAAAATGGTAAGGAACCTTATTTGCTGGTTACTCTGTTTTCATTTTTCTTGCTACTCTTATTTTATTTTTTTAATTTTTCAAGGCCTTGATTTTCTGCAACTTCAGTAATCACTGACAGCATATTCACTTTTATAAAAGGATTTTTCATAAGATGAGTATGCTAGGTTCTGCAATTGTTTTGTAGGTTTTGTTGTTGTCATTTGTCATTTGTGGAACCACCAGATTAATAACAAACACCGGACCATATTGATTATTTGTCAGCATCGGCATATAGGCTCCTGACATTGAAGTTGAATAGCAGTTTGCATAAAGCAGTTCTGTTTCTAGATTCATCCTTTGGGCCCCGTTCACACAGGGCGTATCATGATCACGCGCCAAACACGTACAACAGTGTGCACTTTGATGCACGTTCACGATATGTGCACAAATGCGAAACACGCTTGCGTTGCCATTACTAGGTAATAGCACCCTAAACAAACGTTGCCGAACAAGCACATTTTTCCCTGCGTGTGAGAGAACGCCCTGGAATTATAGCAAGGTCACCAAGTATTTTCTGTACTTGGTGAAAATGTGGCCATCACATCTAAGCTCCAGTCTATTACATTTTTCCTCTTAAAGGGGAACTTCCCCCTTATCTTTAAAATGACAACAAAGACACCCTTAGAAATATTTAGTAATAGCAATCTACAAACAGATATTCATAGAAAATTGCCAGCTTTTTATTCATTGCATACCTTATTTTTCTGTTCCCAGGACAGTCGACTTTACACATGTTAACATCCGGGAGTTTGCTTACAGATGCATGCTGTCGCCGGCGTATGACATGCGTTGGCAGCAGTAAAAGGGATTAAAAGGAATGCATTGTTCCCAGTTAAAGTATACGTCTAGAAACATTTTTTTAGTCCTGTACAGAACAAGAAAGGTTTAGAACTCCTGTCTGGTTTTACTGCCATTTGAAGCTTTGTTGTAGAGATTTCCCCTCGCTCTTAATGCTGTTGAAAAGTTCCCCTCACCTCGTAAAGAGTTGTCAGCTGGACAGGAAGTGAAAGGAAAGGAAGGGAGAGCCTCAGATAGCAGTAAAAACTAAACAGGGGTTCACACCCTTTGCTGTGCAAGTCTACTGTGCATACTTGCACATAATGGCAAGAGCAACAGAACTCTAATTTCACTTTGGTAACATTGGCAGACAGTCCAGGTAAAATGTTGGCAACCCTTGTTCTTGCTGCTGTCTGCATTCATTTACCCTCACATTCCTGACCTAGGTGACATCAGTATCAGAACAGGAAATAGGGTAAATCTCCCCAATAGGGACATAAATAGCAAAAAAACAGCCAAGTTTTGGGTGAACTGACACTTTGGTAAATTGCTACTGTGGACAATCATTAATGAGCAATTCCCCTAAGGAAACCCATCCATCATATGAGACTATGCAGTAATCAAACACTAATGTCAGTATTCTTACAAGTAGTCTCATTATTATTTAGCTAAACCAGCGACATGTTATTACTAAGAATTCCAGAGCTAAAGTAAAAATTAATGAATGTAAACATTTGTCCCTGCTGCACGCCTGAAAGAAGAGGGAAGAAGCTCGCATTTATGACTGTATACACATTTGGCTTTTTATTATGATATCATATTATTTTTAGAAGGGAAGGGAAGACAAACTAGTCTGGAGCTTTAAAGCACATATTTCCATTCTAGTCAGTCAAACAGTTTTTCTCCATCTGAAGTCATATTCAGGGCTGATCTAGGTTATTTTTAGACAGACCTAGTGCAAAGCATAGTTTACAAGTCAGGTTTCAGCCCCCTTTTAACTAAATTACTGGACCTGGATGAACAACCTCCTGATTTGCAGTTGATAATCTCGTTAGCGGTGCTCCTGCCGAATATTTTGTAATTACGCTTGATTTAATAGATTGGTATGTTTCGTGTGTCTGTTGTGACAGCTTCTGAATATGGTTTGGAAAAATAAATCAGCATAGTTACTAGAAAGTCATAAAGCAGATTAAATCTTGCAGCGCTTATTGGAAAGCTGAATATAGCAAAGTCCCAGTCATCTAATCCACCAGCTTCTTATGTCTGGCTGGGAACATTGTCTACTGGGGTGGAGCATTCCATCCAACTGGAAATCCTCCTTATACTAAAAATGGAAATTATCATTATACAATGCAATGTTTGTAGACAACCATGGTATTTATATCATTTTTTATGTTAGGTTTTGCTAAATCGTACCTAATAATATATGCAGTTTGGATTGCATAAGAAGATAATGAGGTCACCAGCACACCAAGGTCCACTTCATCTATCCGTCCCTTGGTGTCATTAGCAAAAGCAATGTTTCAGAACCACAGGCGGTCCCTTTGACAATGAAGGGACTGCATGTGGTTCCGAAACGTTGCATTTGCTTGTGATACCATGTTTATCTAAATGTCATTAAAGGAGAACTACTGGGTCAGTGTTTTTCCCCATAGTTCTCCTTAGGGTAACGGGAGGACACAAACTAGCGTCCTCCCGTTACCCTAAGCTCAGTATACCGCGAGCTACAGCTGGCTCTGCCTATCTAGAGGCAGAGCCAGCTGAACCCGCCCCCTCCCCCGTCCGTTCCGCCAGTCAGCGCTGGCAGATCGGAGCGGGGAGAGGGGAATCCAGCCCCTCCCCCTGTCACGGCAGAGAGGCGTGATAGGATCGAGAGGCGAGCGAACCCGGTATGTGTTCGCTCATCTCCCGATCTACTGAGCCGACCTGTGACAGTCTCATTGTCACAGGTCAGCTAGAACTATGAGGTGAGTGAAAAGCACTCACCTCATAGTTCTCCTTTAAAAGACGTATCGATAAAGTGGACCTTGGTGTGCTGGTGACCTCATTATCTCCTTTAGTCTTACAACGCCATCCTTTGTCCATTTCAGCGCCTTTTTAAGCTACACATGAGGTTATACGCCAGTTTGGAGTGCGATGAGATACCTCTGAATGGGTTGCATAGTGACAAGTGATACTGTACCATTAACAGAGCTGGAGCACACATTTCTTAAATCCAGATTTCAAGCTGAACTACAGGAAAACAGATACATAGACAGTTGAAATACATACATGATTACTATCTTAGCTGTCAAAGAATTTGCATTTTTGTCCGATCCCTAAATTGTACATTAGCAGCCCTACTACACATTGCAGTCTTCCCGGTGACCTGACTTTCTTTGCTGCAGTTAAGCAACACAGCCTGGTCACCCCCCTACCCCCAGCCTGTAACTGGACAGTGAAGGAGCAGTAATAGACTGATGACGTTATATGTCCGTTCTTTTCTCCTTTCAGCATGTTTTTTATCAGCATATGTGAATGTAAGATATCTGATTGGCCCCAACTATTGCCTTTCCCAGTGTTTCTGTACAGGAGATTATAAGTCAAACTTTTCTAATGCACTAAAATTAAAATAAGTCAAACTTAAGTAATTCAATTAGTTGCATGTAAAATACATTTATAGATTTTTATAGTAAGCGAATAACTGCAATTATTATTGGTGTTTTGTTAATGTCTACCTGGATTTTTAGGGATTCTTGCATAGTTTGCACTTTTAGAGATGGGTGTTTTTTCTTATGGTCTGACAGTCATCTACAAGAGGAATGCAGCCTCCATTCATGTGTAGGGTAAATAAAAGTTGTCACTCGTACACAATGGTAATTGAAATAACATTTCAATTAACTCCATGACAAGGACGAGATGCCACCACCTAAAATTAGTGAAGAAAAAATTGAATCACAAGGGGTGAAGTGGTTTCTTCTCAGTTAGATCAATCAGGGTCTGGATCTCGCTGCCACATGCTGTGATTTCGGCTGAGAGTGTGGAATCATTCAAGAGGCGATTGGATGATTTCCTCAGAGACCATAATATACAGTGGTACAAGTACTCTTAAGAATAAGAGCACACAGGGACCTATACATACGCACACATCAGTAGGACCATGCACATAAACACAATAGGTTGAACTTGATGGACATGTGTCCTTATTCAACCTCAAATACTATGTAACTATGTAACTATATAAAAACACAGTCCAAAACATATTATGATGGTACCACAACCTGTATTACTAACAACACTAAAATATTTCTTCCCTTTCATCTTATTTTGTTTTATTCCATGGAAATAAATAATACATGTAAGCACAATATATATATAGTTGACATTTTGAGTTCCTTATAATAAAAATGAATTGTGAAATCCTATACAGTGGTGCACTGACTCATGCAGTGTTTGGAGTGTGTACATTTTCTTTTCTTTTGTAGCTTTGGGTTCCAGTTTAAAAAGGAACAGAATTAAGGGACAGTCAACACTTTTATTTTGGTTTTTAAATAGCTCTGCACTTTTTAGCATTGTTTCGCCACTGTACAGCGTATGAGGTTACAAAATCAAAGGGCAATCCTCTAAATTACTTTTTATCCGCCCGGAAGTGAGTACAGCTACAACAAACTCTGCAGAATATTGCATTTACTTTTAGCAAAAATCAAATAAATTGTATGGTACAATTTTAAAATTATAAGTGTCAAAACCTATTGTTATTTTGCAATAATTATTTTTAGAATTTTTTTTGTATTTTTATAGGTCTGATATTTTCCACAACAATATGTAAACAGCAGTGAACCATTCCTTTTAAGCTAGCCATACCTGGCTAGATTCCTCTTATTCAGCACATGGAGCTGAATGAGAGAACTCACTCGATCAAGCATCTGTAAGTGGTGGCCGCATCTGAAAGTGGCAGTCCACATGTAATGGTTCATGTGGTTTTGGGATGGAGGACTGTCGCTGGATGTGTCCAGGATGGGTGCGTCCCACGAAATTCAATGATTACATGTGGACTGCCGCTTAGGGTGACAGCAGCTGCATCTGTGTCATTTACTTCAATGTGTACAGAGCCACATATGAACAGGGACACCTGGCGTTCTTACCGCAACAATCCTTAGGTCCGTGAGGCAGGAATGCCAGATTACCCCGTGTGAACGAAGCCTTGGGGGTTGATTTACTAAAGGCAAATAGGTTGTTCACTTTGCAAGGTAATTTTCACTTTGTGAGAGAAGTTTCTTCTTAGCTTGGTGAATTTGGTGAAATTTCACTTTGCAAAGAATACCTAACCATCTGCAAGGACAAAACAGTATTTTCCTTGCATGTGATTGGCTGATGGAATTCAGCAGATATTCACCTCATTCAGGGGAAACTTCCCCTGCAAAGTGCAAATTCCCTTGCAAAAGCTATTCACCTTTAGTGAATCAACCCCCTAGTCTCTGTCCAGTGAAGCTGACAGTTGGATCTCCCTTGACCTGTTGCACATAGGGCTAGGGCTGAATGTGCAGTTTTTATCTGTAGCTAATGAGGGCATTAACCACTCGTTGACAGTCTTGTTGAGGTGACTGCCTGCAAGTGGTTTACACCAGACTCCATTCCAGACTGGAAATTAAACCTTAACATACTCTGAAAGGAAACTCACACAGACGGAAAGAGAACATAACAATGCATGAAATTGGAAGCCCAGTTCACTAAACTGTTATATTTTTTCTTAAATATTTGTAGTCCTTTTGATCAGCTTTTTAAATATATTGCCACATAATATATGATTTCATGGTATGCCTATTCAAAGAACATTCAGGATTCATATAATCCATTTACCTTTTTTTAGACATGTGCTCACCTTTATGAGTCTCGCCAAAGAGTAAAACAGCCATCGGAAACAAGAGCTGTCATTGGCCGTTGCTTTGTGCTGAGTGAAGACCTGACTACTAGTGAAGACCTGGATGGAGGAGACTGGAAGTTTTGCGAGGGTCGGCCTCAAGGTCATGAGATGTTTGGGTTCTGCCAACAAGGAATGTCAGCTGGATTCACCTCAGATAATAATTACATCATGTTTGGGGCCCCTGGGACCTACAACTGGAAAGGTAACTATTAAGAAGTTATCGATCATTGCTATGGAAGCCAGACCTAATTTGGATATTCAGTTTGCTAGGATTATATGCTAAAGCCGATTACCACAGCCATTGCGTATGTTTTTATTTCTAGAAGAGATAAAAAATTGTTATAAATTACATTTCCTTTAAGTAAACATTAAAGTAAATGCAGCCCATAACTAGATACCATTTAGTTTGCTAAAGCACTGTGTGGCATAAATCAGTGCCATGTTTCTGTTCCATGAAATAGTGTTTTCACCTTTTTTTACATCCTTTTCCCAGCTCAGTGCTGCTATCCTCCAGCCTTTTTCAGCCACTTCCTGTGAACATGCACTTGCTCCAACGTGGGCTGCAGGTCATTATTTTGGACCAGTTTGCTGGTCCATAACTCCCAACTTTCTGAGATGAGAAGAGGTATACCTTCCAGCACAATATATTTAGGCAATGACACAACCCTGTCACTACCAGTTATGTGGACCATTAAGAATTAATTTTTTCAGAAATGATTGGTTAAATCTAGAATTGTTTTTTTCACCATTTCCTTTATACTGGCTTTTTGAAATAGCAACAAGCTCATTAAGAGATAAAATGAAGGTTTTAGTGCAGAATACACTTTTGGTAGTTAAACAGAACCTTTGCATAGATATCTGTACACCAGACCAAAACAAGGGACAACTGAGGAGGAAGGAGGGACAGAGGTATTTGGTTCTAAATAAGGGGCAGTTGGGAGGTATGCATGTGCAATATGTGTCCACATGGTAACTTGTAGTCTACACCAGGGGTGCATGTGACAGGATACAAAGGCAGGGGCACATTTGGGTCAGTTATCACCCCTTAAAAGGTATCAAGCACCTGCATAAAGGACTTTCATAATAGTATGGCCCAAATGACTTAATGGGAGTGCTTGAAGAACATGTTGTGCATTTTCCAGCTTAACAAGCGTCTCTTCCCAACCGGTTGTCAATCGGCCTATACAACAAGCTTACAACAAGTGTCTCTTCCCAACCGGTTGTAAATCGACCTCTTTGGCAACCGGTTGTCAATCGGCCTATACAAAAACACACCCGAAAACGAGTCGAAAACATGCCTAGATATGCATCTACAAATGCACCAAAATTAACAAAGAAGCCAATGCACAGTGTGAACGTAGTCTTACATAGTCATTTTCTACCTTTCCCAGAGATTGGCTCAGTGTAATCCATCCCATCTTTAGCCCGCTTTATAGTATGTTGGGAATTATAAGAATTTAACCCGTAAAGGTGCCCATACACTCTACAACCCTCGCAAGACTTTTGTCTTGCAAGGGTTGTAAAGTACTTTAAAAAAACGTACGATCTGCCAATCTTGGACAGGTAGATCGTACTTGCGATCATCGCAAGCCCTGCCCCCCTGAGGGGCGGGCTTCCGATGACTGCAATGCTGAACGGGCAGTGTGCGCGTGCGCACAATGGCACGTTCGGCAGTGATCTCTCGATCATGTTAAAAATCAGCTGAAAATCGTACGATTCTCGGCTGGTTTTCCAACATGCTCGATATACAAAAGTCATGCGAGCGTACATTAGAAACGGTCGCACGCCTTCTCGTACGAGAATCGTGCAGTGTATGGGCACCTTAAGACGGTAGTAGTTTTTAAATATACAGTTCTCTTTATAAATACATAACTAGATTAAAAATCCTTGTTACATGCCAGCATTTTACATTCCATTTGTAAGTATAACAAAAATGTCTATGAGAATGGTGAATAAATCCCAGCAGTCTTTTAGCCAATTCACATAAAAAAAATTAAAGTTGGCACATATTCCCCCTGCTGGTCTGTTCTATTATGGCAGTGATGGGTGTGCAGCTGTAAGAATACCCCAACTGATTGACTAGTTGTTTGGCTGCAGTCTCAGTTCATCCGAGAATTTTCAGACCAGCTCTTTTGGACAAGTCGATTGAAAAATAAATTTTTGTCCAACGGAAGTTCTCAACAGGGCCACACACTGCTTGAATTTCAGGTCAGCAGGACTGAAATGCTCTGTCTTCTTAACATATATAATTGTATTTATAAAAATGTATTATTGTAAGAACTATACTGGGAGGAACGTATGAGTTGTATTGGTGTATTCTGTTTAAAAAAATTACAAACGGGTACGTGAAACTAAAACACATTTAACCTATTTTTGAGGGTGCCCTGCAGTGTCACCTGAGCACTGCTGCTGTTGCTTCTTGAATGAAACAGATTTAATTGTCTTTCGAACCAGTCTTTGGTTGTGTGTGCGCTTTCCATTTAAACAGGAATACTGTATGTGTTCAAGGCCTGAGCTTCCATCTCATGCTTACTTTGCCTCCCAGGTGAGCTGCGTGTGGAGCTCTTTAATCAGAGTGCTCTGGATCTTGGTACTTACGATGACGGTCCATATGAAGTTGCTGGAGAAAACAGCCAGAAACCCGAATTGATCCCACTGCCGTTCAACAGCTATCTTGGTATGAGGTTGTGGCTGGTTGCTGAAAGAGAGCCTGAAAGAGAAAGAGGACTGCTTCAGAATAACACTGACTGCTGCCCTTGAGAGTAGCAATAATCACAGAACTATACATAATTTATAAAATTACTGCAGCAATATATAGGGCATTACAGATCAGTACATGTGGTAAAACATTTTTAAATCATAAATATTATATTTATTTAAGCATAGTGAGGGGCATAACTACAAATCATGACCACACATCATCATTGTGATGCCCCCTGTGACCACTTGGCAGTGTCAACTGAAACAATAGTGTATTTAATCTTAATATAAAGTATACATAAACCAAGGACAGATAGCATGAGCAGAATTAGAAGATATCTAAAAGCAATGGTCAGCTTTTAAAATGCCACACTAATAAAGAGATGTAGAGCATGGGAGGACTGGGCTGGGGGCAGAAGGGGCCATTACTAATAAGATATGTTGGGTTACGGGCCCTGAGTGGAGATGCTTATATACTCAGGCATCAATTAAATAGAACTTGTATTCAGTGACATATGTTGAGCATTACATAGCTATCTACTCCCTTTACAGACCTGCTGCAGCACTGTCTGTCTTTGTGGCTTTGAGATGTCATGTGACCAAATGTTGAGAAGCTAATCTAAAGATGAAGATAAAAAGTTGTGCATCAATAAAAGTTGTCCTTTAAGAATACTCACCTTTCCATGCCCACCAATCACTGTGGCACCATGCCCACTAATTATGAATGGCCAATTAGGTGTTTGTCTCCCAGGCCAAAATGTACTAGTCCTCTGCTGATACAGGGGGAGGGGAATGTTTTCAAATTATATAATAATTAATATATAATGAGTGGCAAGCGTGGGATTCTCTTCCAGTGCCCATTCTTCCCTTTAGTAGCCCTTGAAAGGAAAGCTTTACAGTATCTAGTAAAGTTGGTGTCATTGGCCCTTGTTGTGGATTTTCCATTGGAGAGTATGGATAGTGTACATTGAAAAGAGAAACTAGAGTGTTTGGCTCTGGCTGTTACAACAGACTAGGTTCGTTTCAGGCATATTTCTCCCTGGGATCACAGATAAATAGCCAAGGTATTATGAATCCTGCCTTACTCTAGGAAAAGCGAAAAAAAAGTTTTTCATAGCTTAAATCAGAAATGTTGCTCCGTAATGCTTATTAAAAAAGCAAAGGGAATTGCTGTTGTAATGTACAATTTGCTCTTAAGATCAGTAAGTGAACCAAATGACTATGACAATTAGAACATTGCTAATGAGACACAATTTCTGCCAAAGCCTCTTTCTTGATCACTCTGTCTCTCAGCTTCCTAAGCCACGACACACACTTCCTTTCTACTTTCTAACTTGTGTCCCCTTCTTTTTCTCTCTCCCCCTCTACCTCTCTTCCTGGGGGACTCATGATCATGGCACAGGAATCTTGTTTGTCACAAACATTGATAGTTCAGACCCGGATCAGCTGGTTTATAAATCACCGGAGCCCAAGGAAGAGGGAGCCAGGCTGGCCCATGATGTGGCTCTTAATAGCTATTTAGGTTTGTAAATTGCATACGTGTGTGCGTGGGCCGGGTTCAGCTCCTTCCTCCTGCATTTTTCTGTCTTCCCCTGAGTGCCTGTCTATGGCTCTGGTGACATTTTATTCGCTTTGCATGTGCTTGCTCTTTATGAGTAGTGTGTGAGGTATGGCTTATATATTTTTATTATTTTGCATGATGCCTTATTGTATTTAATTTTCACATATCTGCCTTGAGCTATACAACATGGTTGCCTTTATTTAATAAAATAGTATGAGGACAACAGTGCAAAGAAACCAAAGGAAACACAAAACAACCAATCATAGATCAACTTTTCACAGGTTACAGTAGAATGGAAGTTGAAATGTATGGCTGGGGGGTTTATAGCATATTCATATTCCCTTCATGAAGAGGACACTACGTGGCCCTGAAACGTTGCAATTTTTGATGTGACAAATATGCGTGAATAAAAGACGCTTTATTTTTGAACACTATCCACTGGTGTGCTGGTGACATTTCTGATATACATTGTGAAGTGCGGCGCCATCCGCAGTCGCTTCAGCACCCATCATTCAGCACAAGGGGTATTCAGTAAGGAGTGCGGTGTTACCTACCGTTATAGCATATTGTGGGCCTGTCACAGTTTTAACCCCTTGCCGTCCGCCCGTAAAATTACGGGTGGACGGCGGATCCTTCCCGACGTTGTCTTGTAAATGTACGTCTTTATTTCTTCTGCTCGTGCACGCCCCCTAGCGGGCGCGCGTGAGCTGATACCCGTCTCATACAGCCGGCCGATCGCTTGTATAACCCTAAATTGTGTGGCGCCCCCCCCCCCCCTGCTGCCGCGCCCCTCCGTAGCCGCTGCCGGTTATCCCGGGCACCACCAGGACCGGCACAGCGGCTGCTCAAAGAGAGAAGGAGGAGAGATCAGCATTTCCCACTGCTGATCTCTTCCCCTTCTCTCTCTCTAAAGTCGGAAGCGATGTGTATTACATCATTACCGCCTTTCGCTGTCATTTCTCTGGCTGGGAGCCAGAGAAAAAGCTGATGAAGCAGATCACTGCTTCATCAGCTTCTTTGGGAGTCCCTAAGTGACATTAGGGGACCCCTGAAGTCTCCATTAAGAGGACCTGTCATTTTTTTCCAGCTATCACATTGGGGGCTTTTTATCCCCCAATGTGATAGCAATCAAGTGAAGTATAAAAAATAAGTTTAAAAAATAAACAGCAAAAAAAGCTTTATGTCCCCTGCGCGCACGCACTTATACACTTATATACGCGTCGGGCGCGCCTACGTGCAAAAACAATGATTGTGCCGCTTACTGTAAAACCTTTATTTGGGATAGTGATACAGATCTCTGTACTTTGACACAGTCAAGAAAATAATAAACTCAAATGTGTTACTGGATAATTGGAATAAAATTGATTTGACTAATCCTGTTGGATTACATTTCACTATATGAATAGTTTTATGCTTTGTGGTTTGCTATGCGGTGCATATGACAATTGGGTTGCTTGCCATGTGTCTTGTAGCTATACAGCTTTGCTATCAGCAGTACCTCTTGCCAATAATCCACCATAGCTATCTATTCTAGTTTTGCATGGAGTTATGATTGTGCTTTTCAGATTACTTCCTTCTGTTAGCTGGTGATATTCATTTGTTAAATATTTATATTTTCAAGTTTTTAAAAACAATATATATTATTTTCATACTACACTCATAATAGATTCTTAGATTTTGGGTGGAATTAGGGAAACTTGAGTACAGTTTTAGGTTCCTATAAAGGTTCCTATATGAGATCTTCTCCCACACCTATCATGTCTGTAACAGGCTAAGCTTTGCTCTTAAGGCCAGCCTCTAGTATGATCGCAACTCTCTATATAGAGAACTAACCAGAGAGTAGAGTGTGTATAAATGCTTCATCACCTTCTCTAGGTGATTCTTCACAGAAATATATCCACAGTGACGTTAGAGAGCTGTGAAGACCTGGAAAGGTCCAATTTCACTGAAAATATAAAAATCTTTTACTGGCTAAAGCTCTGCATTAAATCATTTTTGCTAGTCAAAATGAACTGATCTTGGGACTGTGCTCTGCATTGTAGTAATACAGAGGATAACCCCCTTTTCTTAGTTACCTTGCCATTGATTTGGGCCCTCAGTTTCAAATTTCACCTGCAGGACCAGTAGGCTGAATGGGCCGACCATTTGGATAAAATTATGCTCCATGAGCACTCGTGGAATGCTCATACTCTAGCCTCCCACTCTAGCCTGCCAAGGATATCTAGATAAGACTGAGATAGATGTTTGGCTGTTCAAGAATGTTGCACAAAGGAGCGAGAACTACTGGTCAGATTTTAAAGGGCAACTCCAGTCAAGCAGCAAACAACACAAATAAACTCAGTTGCCAGTTCATTAGCTAAACCTGTCCAGTACCCATAAAGTGTTGCACATGGTCAGCAACCATAGTGTGTAACCCCAAGTGCAGAATTTGCCTTCTGCATGTCAAAGCAGAAATGGAGATTTGTCAGAGTAGACAACATTTTTCTACTCTTCAGCCATCCAGTCTTGATAATACTGCACTCAATCTAGTCTTATTTTACTGCCCTGCACTGTGCTTACAACAGTGGAACTCTTTCTGCACACAACCCTTGTAAACAGTGGTTACTCATGCAGTTGTAGACTTCCTGTCAGCTTGAACAATTCTGGCCATTCTGCTCTGACCTCTCTCATTAACAGGGTGTTCAAACCTCTAGACTATAGAGTAGAGTATGCAAGTCCCAAGAAGCCAGCAGTTTCTGAGATCTTAGAGCCTCCACCATCTGTCACCAAAAATCATTCTATAGCCAAAGCCAATTAAGCTGTGCATCTTCCACATGTTAGTGTTTGGCTGAGCCTCTTGGTGCATGATTTGTATATTAGCTTGCACCACACAATTTACCATCTGGCTATTTTCAGAAGTAGGCATACCTAATAAAGTGACCACTGGGTGTATATACTGTAATGCACATACTCCTGAAAGACACCTGTTCATACTGTGATATTATGGGTACACAGAATAGAGAAAATGGTAATATCACTTTTCAGGGACTGCATTTCTGCACACTTTGAGACACTGTCTGATTTCAGCTTTAAGGTTTGAGTGTATGGCATCTCAGTGTAAAGTCACATGTGGTTTATTTATTTCACCTTAGTTGTTCTTTAATATCGAGTGGACTAACGTAGATACTTTCTACTATTGCTAAGGAGGATAGAGACACCTAAGGACAATCTAAGCTGGTTTGTCCAGCACTTTGTTCAGCAAGGCAGCAAGCTACTACAGTAAGCATAAACAAACAAAACACATGTTCAACCGAGCAACTAACTAAACTGAGGTCAGTCCTTACTAACTGGGTGCCCCCTAATGGGTTTCCCCAAAGTGTGCTGTCAGCAGTCAGCCTTTTCACTCAGCAGCAGGGTCTCATAGCAGAGAGAAAGCTTGAGAGAGCTCTCAGCATTATAGCATAGCTGAGACAAATAATGAGATCTGGCTGGTCTATCTATATATACACAATATATATATATATATTATACTCTAATGATTATAAAATTATGTATTTAATTTAAATTTGAGTATCACAGGCTGGCATAAGGGCTGCAAGTTGCATTAAAAGTATACCTGTGCACATTGCTTCTGCTACATGATCTTGCTTTTGGCTTACCTATACACTGCGTTGTTACTGCTGTCCACATTGCACTGTTTTGCTGCTTCATTGACCATGCTGGTTGGCTGTATGAAATAGCATCCTACATGTGATTTAAAAATCATCATCCACCTTTTTAATACATCTCTTGGATTTAATTAGTGTAATAGAAGTATGGATAGAATAGAAGTATGGAAATCATTATTTATATCTATTTATTGGTAGTAGGTGGAAGGCAAACATACAGTATGTAGTATAAACAGTTATCATTTACAGAAGCTGTTGCATTTTATGAAATCTAGCATGTTATAATGCAGGCTGGTATAGGGGTAAGTTTAATTAAATTAACCAATTTCTTTTTAGTGCAACCAATATTTTCTACTATGAGAGATTTTGCTCCATCTTCCTGTTTGCTTCTCGAGGACAGGAAGTAAAGGGAAATGTCCCTAATGGTTCATGTTATGTAAATATGTAGTGTGCATAGTCTAGACACAGGTCCACTTTACACACATTAAAAAACATTTAAAACGATCCATTGGGGGTAAAAGAGCCTATGCTCTTTTACCCCCAATGGGCAAATAGTATAACTCATTTTGCATTGGGGTAAAACAGCTCAGGCCATTGCAACAGTCATGATTTTCCAGAGCAGTTTTACCTTTTTAGCTCCTATTTAATAAACAACCATCAACTTTTTAACAGGCATTCTAGTGTCTTCTACAGAACCTGAGGTTTGACTGTTGTGGCCTAGTTCCCTATGCATTCTTAATGCAGAGGTCTGATTTTTTTGGTCTGATGATCATTACCTCATTTTAAAATGAATGCTAGTTATCCCTTATCTGTGGCTACCTTTGCCTGTTAGATTCATGCTAAGTCAAAGCTGTTTACTAGGTCATAGCTAAACAATGAACAGCAGTAACAGGAAATCCTTCTGTTAAATCACTTATGCACCATAAATAACAGGATCTATGGGAATAAGTTCCTATAACCTCTACTGTATTTTGTACAAAGAAACATAATATAAAAGTCTAAGCAAATCGCTTGCCCTCTTGTCCCACATTTTGTTGTCAATTATGTCATCTCAGTGCTTGATCACTGTTTTAAACAGTTCAAGAGAGTTGATCCTTTATGATTTCATGTGAATTTAATTACTCTATTGTGATGTTAGGAGCTGCTGGGCATTGTATCGAAGCTATGGCTTACCTTGACCATCATATTCCAAGTAAAGAATTATGTTGTGGTTCTCAGCATAGTGATTTTGAATATAGTGATTAATCATATCCTACCTAATATTATGGTTTTATAGGTAAAATATCTAAACAAGGGGTTTTTAAAGGGTTAACATAGTGTTTAGAAATGTATTTTTCACTCAACAACAGTTGAAGACACTGTTTACATGCTTTACCTGTGAACCACCGGGCAGACAGTCTTACAAAAGACAATGATGCACTCTAATCCAATCACAGGGTGTAGGAGGGAGGTTGCAGGAAGACAGTCTGTGTAGATAGGTGAGCCATAAAGAGGGCAGCAGTGGGCTTTTGTAGGATCAGATTACATGCAGCCTGTACATTCTGACTGGTATCTCTTAATCAGAGCAATTCAATGGACTACTATGATGCTAATTTACTCATGGCATTTTGGTTACACTCGTTGATAGACTGAAATAGACAGTTAAAATGTATATTTGGCCTTTGTTAACTGTTTACTAAGATATTGTTTAATAATGGCATTTTCAAAAGTCTCATTGGCCATAAAGCAACTACCAGTGTGGTGGTGGGGAATATTATACCTTTTTGTTACAAAAGACATCGTAGTGCAACAAAAGGTGGATGAAGTAATTCATATTTTCATCTCTATCATCTCATTTTAACTATTTTGACAGACTCTACTTGAACTGGTTACACATAACCCATCATGTGGGGGGTAAATATAACCAGGACTAGTGGAGCCTGTTGATTGTGGCAAATATCAGGGGCCAGTCTAACATTTGATTTGCGTATCTGTGTCCATCATTGTGGTTGCTGCTTCACCTGCTTCCTAGTCACTGAGCCACATAGTGAGGGGGAGCTGATTCATGCCTCACAGAAGTCCAGAGGTCCTTCATTTACCCCTTACAAAGTTAAAGGGCCACTAAATCTAAACTTCCATTTTCGAATATACATTTTTTTTTTTAAACAAATATGTGCATATAGAAAACCTGCAGTGATTAAAATATGGGAGAAGCTACTTCTGACTTATTTTTAAAAGTGCAGGCTCCAGGGCTGTCATGCTTATCATTGTTTTACTACTTAATGAGTTACTGTAAAGTTTGCAACTCAGGTTCAGTCACGTGTTATGTAGTGAATCAAAAATAAAGATGACTCCCACTACTCAGAGCTTTCACCTTTTATAAACAGCATATTTTTGCCCTTAGAAATACTTTACATTTTCTGAGAGGAGATATTTTTCAAATGATTAACAGCAAATTGCCTAAATAAGAAGCATCAGATTGGAGCTACTACCCTCTGGCTTCTGGGCTGCATACTGGTTCTGGGCCAGTGATGTCAATTCCAGTGCTTAAATAGAGATAAGCAGCATCTATGCAGAAAATCTCACTCCTTTTGCTTTGTGATTAAGTATATTGTATTTAAGATTGTTTTGTTTAGCCTGAATAGTTGCAATGTGAATTTATATCGATAGG